CTGGGGCAAATGAGAAACCTGTCTTGAGCTCTGACTACAATGAGTTTACAAAACCGAACAGGAACACATTATTCATTTGATTTTCCAAAGGAAAAGCATTATTTCACAGCGAAATAGTAACTTTATTTAGATTCAACTTATATTAAATGTTACTGTTGCCAATACAATGGATTTTAAACTGCTAAAAGTAGAGATTTCAAAAACATGAATACTGTACAGCATAACAGTTCAGAAAATGTAAATGTGCCAATGGACAGCTAAGCAGTGCTAATGATAAACATCATTTATAGATAATAGCTTAAAACTAGTAAAATAAACTTTTCACAACATGTTTTATTAACCGTAAAGATACTACTCGATCTAATGGTTTAATCCTAACAGTTAATCAAACTAATATTTGACACAGTGTACGGCACAACCTATATGTTATCATTAAATAAAAGATCTAACTAGCACTGACAACATATTTTTGAATACATAGATTTATCTCAGACTCTAGTCGGATGTCAGACTTATAATAAAGACAAGAGTGAGAGCAGTGAGTCAGCATCCCATAATAATCATCATCGCTGTCTATAGCAACACCTTTTCAGACTGGAAATCCCCACATCACAGAGATTTACAGATGTTATTTGGCTGGAGAAAAACAGGTCTGAGAAGATTGAAAGCAGAGTGATGTGTTGTGTGTGTGTGCATCTTACACTAATTATGAACCTAATGTTTTTCTAGATATTTAAATCCAATGTGTTTCATCTACATTGTGTAATTTAAAAACCCCACAGGTATTTAATAACAGAAATCCTGCTATCCTTGTAATGTATACAGCACTAACTCATTCACATGTCATATATTCCATGATTTATCCATATCTTAAGTTTAGTAAGGGCACTGTTCATGGTGCACCCCTAATTCACCAGGGTGTCTCCCTTCCTTCCCATTCTGTGAGCTTATTCAGAAAGAAACAGGTAATAAAACGAAAATATTGTATGCTACTTATATTATTAGTTGATTGGGAATTTATGGAGAAGGTCACTTCAAACAGTCCCACATAAGTTATGACATAGCGCAAAGAGGTACATGCTTTACAGTGATCAATTACCTTTGTCTTCTAGATATATATATATATATATATAGATAATATAGACTGAAGGGTATGCTTAGGCCTCATCCCATTCTAGGAAAACAACTATCTTTACCTAACATTTAAACTATTTTCAAATGGATAGACTGTATTAAGATCTGGTAGAGTTGTACGTTAACATTAAATGTAAAGGCACACAGCTGGTCCCTCCTACACTGGTGAAATAACAGTGACTAGGAATAGCATCCTATGCAGACAGCCTGTCATAATAAAGCTGGTACACTCTCGTGCCCTCCTTGTACATCTTCTGCTAGAACAGTATGCCTTGGAGGAAGGACACACACCCACCAACCACTAAATCATCACCTATGAAAATAAGCAAGAGCTATCTTCAACTCACTTTGTTCCTTTAAGTCTGCAGTGCCAAAGTGGTTTTGTCTGAGAACGTTTTTTTTACTAGTTTCCAGTTTGAGGGGATGTCATGGTTTAGAACCGAGGCCTCAGACGTTTGTATGTGTAGCTTTGACTTATGTGTGTTTTATTTTAACACCACAGTCTGGGTCTTATATGCAAATGATGTCATTTAGCTTTGGTGAAGGCCATTCAGAGACTGCGAGTGATAGTGTACAGTCACAGTTGCCTAAAGAAAGGATACCTGAACCATTTAACCAGTTTTAACAAGTGGCTCTAAAAATGATTTTTTTGTGTGGAATTCAAACCAGCTTTCACACGAAGAAGTCTCTATTATGAAAATAAAAGTACTTTAAATGCATTGGAACCGTCAGCTGTTTATAGTAGTTAAACTGAATTAGATTAATGACATGCTAACCAACTTCAAGACAAAACCAAGCCATTTTCAGATGGTGGAGATTTTGCCCTGAACTCAGTGTCCCAGGCAGCCTGTTCTCCCTGGCGGAGGTCCACCTCCAACGTAGCCATAATACATTACATGGATACATTTATGGTTGAGCTATGGCTGTGGTTTTTCTCGATCTTGGAAAAGGAGGCAGAATTATAATGAGAGCAAGTTCTGCCTGGGAGACTTAACTGATGGCAACAAAATGCTATGCAAGATCTTTTTGCAACAGCTACATTTAATTTTGAAGGAGGAAAATCAAATATAAAAAAATATGTACACAACATGATCAAACTGGACACTAGCTTGGACAACAGGGTCTGTGCTAAAAGCAAGAGAAGAGTATTGACGTGAATCACCAGAGCCACAAGGGCCCATGGGAAAATGATGACAAAGCAAAGGAAAAATAAAGAGGGACATGGTTAAAGCTGCCAGACTGGGTCACATATGACGAACAGAAGCCTGACATACCACACACTTCCATACAGTAGGAATGAGCTGTCAAACGCCTGCTCGCCCGCCACACATAGACACTCTATTCAGCAGAGAGAACCAGAGCAGGGTTAGGTTATGTTTGGCCAACTGAGACAGACTGCCCTTTGAGGAGGGCTCAGCTTTGAAATGAAGCTGAGGAACATCCATGTCAAGACAATATTGCCCTCTGATTTTCTCCTCCTTTGGACACAAAACTCTGCTTTCATGGCTTTTGGGGTCTTCTGCTCTGTGCTTCATGCATCCCTCCTCCTTTTCTCTAGTCCTCATTCTCCCAGCGAAAACAGAATAAACATGAAAGATCCTGACCACTTTCTTCTCTAAATCAGTCTTTCACTGGCAGGGTGGGGCGCAGCTATAGTTTACACTAACATCTGGGCTGCTGCACGCACCGCACTGCGCGCACAGGAACGGGCACACAGACGCAGTGTTTCAGCCCGTCTAGCCAATACGCCGTAACTCTTGTGCAAAACGCGGCAAGTGAGTGTATTTGTGTCACTCTGATATTATCACAAGGTCCGATGATTTAAAGCATGTTTCTACAAGCAAACGAGCACAGCGCCTCTAGAGGCATCCTTTAAGATGGGAAATACAACCTGCACAAGGTGTTGGACACAGACAGAGCCACATTCACATGTAGCCTATGTGGAATACATTTCCACACCCAGAACTGGGAAAACATCCATAGCTCACAGACGCTTATGCACAAACAAAACTGTACAAAGCGCACATAGACACGGAGACACTGGACGCTTTCACTCCCAAAGCCCTGTGACTGAGGTGCTCCGCCGCATAATAACCTATTCATAAAAAGCAAAAATGTCTCAGACTTCCGCCTCCAAAATACACACGGGAGACGACGGGAAGGTGCAATCGCCTCTCGCAATCTGAAATTGGAAACGGGGCCAAAGAATACACTGGAGGGGGGCAATTTATGTTACAAAAGCCCCCTTGGTCCGTAAACTGTCCCCGCAAGCTCTCCACAAGAGGGATAAAGAGCCATTGATCCATCTGTCCACTGATACTTCTGAAGCAAATGTACTTCACAAAACCTAAACGGTTAAACCTGACATCATGTATCTATTCAAAATCTGGATGATGGGCATCAGCGAAAGCAGTCATCCGTTGCTTCTTAACCAGCTATTATCATATAACAAGTGTTAAAATCGTTCAGTTCCCCTTCTGTAAGATATTCAAAAGAGTCATAATTAATAAATGGTTAACAAAAATGTCACACCTTATAATCAATCAAATCAAACACGAAATGTTCACATATCTGTGGCTGCACCTATGAATGTACTAATGATCATTATTTAAGAATCATTGAAATGGTGTGGCATTGCGTTTTATAAGCCTCCTGTCAGATCTGAACTGATCTGGACTCTAGAGACAACTAGAGGTCCATCAGGGAACTGCATCACATACAGATCATTCCTTAAAGTCATACTCGGTATGACTCGAATACAAACAGAAAATGTTGTTCTACTACTGTAGGTAGGAGAACAACTCAACGTTCCATGGGCTTATTGAGCCATACAAACTTGGTGAATAAATCCCTCCTCCCTGCAGCAGAGGCAGTGATGGATGGACTGGTGCACAGGCTGAGCTGGTAAACACTCTGCCATCCCCACACAGTGCTGCTGTGGACCCGTGTACACTCAGATATTCAATTCGACCAAACTTCTAATAATGCAACCGAAGCAATATGTGCACCGTCATATTCGCAGGGTGGTGTAAAATAAGCTGTCATTTCAAAACTGAAAAGGATTCTTAGAGTTTTTAGTTTAAGATAAATAGGAAAATTCAACAAATGACAGAAAAAGCACCTGGATACCCAAATAAATCAGCTGAGGGCACAATCGATGACACCTGTCAGCAAGCTCTGGGCACGCAGAAAGGGGAGACGCCCGAGGAAATGATTTCCAAATAAAAAACTTAATTCAAACCATAATTACGCACTTACGTTTTCCTACAGAGAAACGCAATTAACATGCTTTTATAACGACCCTACTCCGTCACCATTCCCTAAAATAAAAGCTTAATTTGCAATAGCAACATATTTTCATTAATTATTTTTCTTCGTTTGTTTTAATGGGATAGACGCAGTGCCCATTGGCCCATTATTGGACTCTTAGATGTCCCTTGCATCACTTATTCTTATGTCTCAACTAATTTCACTCAATTCCCAAATGGTCGTTAGCATGGCCCATTCATAAAAACCTTTATGAACCTGTGAAGAAAACAAGTCACACTTCTTTAGGAAGTTGATTCAGTGCCAACATGAAAAATAAATAAACTTCTTAACATGCAAGTACATGCAAAAATATATCTGAAATACTGTGGGCCATTGCTTCTGGGCCAATGTTTACCACAGTTCTCGGGAAAAATCTAAAGAAACAGCTCAGGTGCGCAAATAGCCAATAATGGATGAGGTATTACGCAAGGTAAATCCAAGTAGACAGCGAATAATGACAAGGTTTGGAACGTTAAACAACATTATAAGTAGCCAAATAATGTAAGCAAGTCTTTAAGAACACATTATAAACATCTTTCTAATATAAACTGTCTTACCTGCACGAGCCACGGTCGTTTGGCATACGACGAGTACCACGGTTGCCAAGGCAAAGGATGAGAAGTCCATGCGCCATGGTCTCCGTTTCTTCCGGAAGGGACAATCTCCAGTATCCATAGTGTTGCAGTAGTTTGCCGGCTTGGTTGAGCTGTAAATGTAGGATATGGTGGAAGTTATCCTCTCACAGAAAGCCAGCCGACGAGAGGGACCCGACTGAACCTTCTGCCAGGCGACAGACAAAAAGGCACGCCTCTGACGTCGCTGCCTCTCTCCCGGAGACTTTCCTTAATGAGTTACCTATGTCTGACTATCTAAATGCACGAAACCTAAACACTAAATGGGGTTTGGGGTGAAAATATATTTTATTTTTAACGTGTAACCCCTTAGTGCTAAAGCCCCATTGAGTCAGACTGGGTAAGAGTACCCAAAGTGGAGAGAGCAGCAGAGAGAGACCTGGAATCACGCTCTCTCTCCCCTTCTCCCTCTTTTCCTTCTTTACTTACACACTTACTCTCACGAAGAGTGAGAACGTGTGTGTGCGTATGTGTGTGCGTACGTGTGTGTGTGTGTGGAGAGAGAGAGAGTGAATGGCAGGAGGAGAGGGAGAGAAAGGGCGTGCGTAATTTTGCATTCGGCTTACGTACGTATACATGCACGGAGGAGCCTCTGAGTGTGAACAGAACGTTTTTAATGATAGGCCTATGCAAATACTTCAACCCCACACTAACAACAATTGCGTCCTTCTTTTAAACTGTGAGTTGGTGGTTTAATAGTAATCATTGGATGTACAGCAGTCAGTCATAACGCTTCTCTCGGTCTAAATAATCCGAATTCACTAAAAACGGCTTGCAGAACAAAAAATATTTACCTTTTATATTTCCTTCTTTTGTTTCTTTATAAGTATCTGTGGCATGAAAAGGCCGGTTTTATAAACCATGAAGGGTAGAAAAGACAGGATCGCTCACCTCGCTGAAACAGCAGAGAAGAGTGAGAGTCCTGCCAGCCAATCAGGCATCTGTCCGCTCTTCTCGCAGCGCCCCTCTCATCTAATCTGAGAAGCTCTCATCTCGTCCTGATTGGTCAGTCCCACGTGGCCTTGTTTTGCAACATCAGCTCAGATGTGTGTGTGTGTGTGTGTGTGTGTGTGTGTGTGTGTGTGTGTGTGTGTGTGTGTGTGTGTGTGTGTGTGTGTGTGTGTGTGAGTGAGAGAGATATTAAAGGCTCAAGAAAAACAGACATGAGTAAAGAGTAATTTGTAAATCAGTGTGTAGTGTGTAATCAACGTTTGCCTGCCAACCCCAAGTCAGCTTCTATCAATCATTTCTCTCCTATATTTATTCTTTTTACATTTAGTAGACATACTGGAATGATTTGTTAAAAAAGTTGAGTTAAGTTAAAAGCAGATGGAAACATGGCACCTTACTGATTGTTTTATGCATTTAAAAGCAACCCACACATATACTGTCTGGTAAAAAAGCTGAATGATTTCACAACAGTTGAGCTTGGTGTTTTTAACTTAAAACACTGCAAATGGAGAGCTGTGCTTTAATACTAATGTAGTTCTCGTTTAAAGGCAGCAGGATGGAGACTGAAAGTTGGATTGGCTAAAAATGAACTAAGATGAACTAAGCCGGAGTTAAACTTTTAGGGGGATCTGTTGGCAGAAATGGAATATAATATGCATAACAATGTTTTTGTCAGTGTATAATCACCGGAAACTAGGAATTGTTGTGTTTTGTTTAGAATGACCACTACATAAGGCAGGGTCCTCTTAAAAGAGTCATGTTTCTACAGAGGCCAAAATAGACAAACCAAACTCTACAGAAAATCATCTGGCATATTTATTGGCTAGGATATACCGGACCCAAAAATAGCTGAACATTAGAAGCTACACAAAAGCAGTATTTACTGTCATATTATTGTACTGCATTGGATTAGCAGGATTATGAGTTTATCGCAATATGTTCCTATTGCACTGTATGAAACATGCTTTTGTCAGTAAGAGATAACCTGAAGGTTAACAAACAATATGAACAACACATTTATGACAAGTAAGGTTTCATTTTCAATTTCAAGCCCCTGATTCTTCTTGCCACTGAGAATATATCAAACCACTGTCACATAAACTTCAAACCTCCTTTAGAAGAGACATTCCTTTCATAATTTCAAAGCCACTTTCATATCCCTACCTGTCATAAACACTCAATAGCATCTCCTATATTTCAAAGCTTTCCCCTGTGCCCAGCCGTCTGCCTTCTAAATGTTTCTATAGTCACAAAGCCCATAGTTAGTCACTTTCTTTGAATGCAGACTCCACATGCAGAGAGTAGTAATTAACCATAATTATCCCCTGATGCTCTATAGAATTTCTATCACCCTCCATTCCCCCTATTTCTGTCTGAGTCTCTGAGGGGAAAGGGGGGTGATTTGTTTGCATTCTGTGGCATTTACATGATAACTCCCCTGAGTATCATTCATTCTTAGTGCTGAGTAGCAATAGAAACTATGGAATTATTACCTTACATTATATAAAAAATATAATATATTCTGATGAGATTACAGACAGAGACTTGTTCTGTAGCTATTTTCCATAACATAGAAAATATATCCCTTAAAGATTTTGAAGGGCCGAAAATATATTTCCTATTTACCTAGCCTTACGTGGCTTGCGTATGATTTGAACAAAACAGGCTTGCAATATGATAAGCTAAACATATTATGTGTGTCCAATTGATGTACATTAAATTAATCTTATTTTCATATCATTTATATAGATCACATGACATGCAACAGACTGTTGCTGCTCTTAAAACTTGTAGAATTGTTCTTTACATTTGAGTTATTAAATCAAAGTCTTATCTACACTGACCCTCAGCGATAAAGATTTTAGTGGCTTTGCAGCAACAGCATTCTTATGAGACACTCAGCTGTGACACGGCACCTCTCCAACACCAGCTAAACTACTATAAGGTTAGATACATAGTTGAAGTACTCAAATTGTGAGTGTTTTATGAATGCAAACTGTTCTTTAACACTAAAAGTATTGATGTTTGAATTGCTTTACTATTATGAAATCAGTGTGCTATTTTAGAAGTGTGTCTTCCAAGCTTAATTGTTTTTTTGAATGCATCATCAGTGTCAGGCCAAAACAGAAGTCCAACAAAGAATTCGGGTAACTCCTTCTGAATACTCTGCTGCAGCAAGAGACCTGCTAGGAGAGAAATCGAAACAGGACCTCACTTGGAGTTGACAAGGTAGCAGACTAAACATAAACATGCTCCAAGTAGACATTAAAATGTAAACATTTGTGTCACTGTGGCAGTCGTTGAGTGTTACCGTGACAGGGAACATCTGGTAGTAAGACATTAACTCAGCATCATCATTGGCTTTAACACTATAACCTATTCTTTTAGAATGAAGTGACACAAATAGTAAAACCAGGTGTAAACGTAAATGAACAAGTAGACTGAAAGGCTAGATACAGTAGCTTTTATTAATTGGATTTAACAGATTCAGACCTGTAATTAAATGTTGTCATCAGAAGTTAAAAAAACAAACATTTCGTTTTACTCAATACAACAGTTTAATCATATTTTGGTCAAGAATGTCATTATTAGGAGTCTACTCTAAGGTTTGCCTAAAATTGGGTGTCTAATTTAACGATTTCATTATTTTTACGAGTGGCAAGTTTTATTTTCTACATTCAGTTTTGCAGGCTTTGATAAGAATTGATGAAACATTTGTATTTGTTGTAAAGGGTTAAATGTATCAGCTTGATGTCCTGCCACAGACAGCATTATATTGTACATTGGTTGAAATACGGTGCTATATTTACCATAAACCCCGATACAGACCCTCTCCAGGTTTCTGCAGGTGCTACCTTCTTTTCTTTGTATATGTTGTGGGATTATTTTTGGACCAATAGGCTCATAAGCTGCCTGACTCCACCATCTCATTACCCAAAATAAATGTCCTCTCCATACTAAACTCCAGTGAATCAGAAAAGGGACATGCTTAAAGTACCATAGCCATGTTTTACCTCTGTTTAGCGGTAATGTGCGGCCTATGAGTTTGCATTCAATGCTGCCAAAAGAAGAAAATTGTATAGTACTTTCTCATAAGGAACTATATGGTTGAGCTTTGATCCACTAGAATGAGAAGGAGCGGCTGTTGTGTGATCATTATCGAAAACCATCAACTAAGCTGCTGCATATAGCAATTATCAGGAATTGTAAGGAACATAGGGCAGTTTCTACGCCTATATATAACTATATGAAAGCCCTAAGGAATAAATAGAATCTCGTTCTCAGATGTAAAAATAATGAAAACAGGATAGGAGTCACAGAGCAGCAGGAATGCTAAAAATATCAGAAATCTGAGAGTAACAAAGCAAATGAATGAGCATGTAATGCAATACAATGTAGTATCAACAATTTTAAACTCAGAAGTTGTCATTTATTGTTAGGGTTCATACACTTTTTCACCAATGATTTCAATGACTTCTCCATGACCTTTACCTAATTTTCCATGACCAAAATAATTACTCTCTCAGCGGGACAGCTGAAAATGATTTATTTTAAAATGGAACAGGAAAATAAGGTCTGCATATGAAACATGTTGGGCCTAAATCTAAAAAAAATCACATAGTAGGCTTACTAGCTCCTACAGGCTAAAATCTCTCACCAGCAAAATACCTCGACAGTTAAATGCCATTTTACATTTCATTACTATACCATAGAGTATTTATTATCGTTATAGTATTACTATTTCGACGATTAGATCAAATATAAATTATATTTGATGCAACTTTAGTTACATTTCCATGACTTTTCCAAAACCTTGGGAAAAATATAGTTTTCCATAACTTTTCCAGGGCCTGGAATTAGCATTTTGAATTTCCATGACTTTGCCAGGTTTTGAATGACCGTAAGAACCCTGATTGGACCTGAATGCCTAGTTTGGAGCCATGTTCCTCCTTCTGTAAACACTGTAGCTTCACTACTGTTATTTTCACTTTCTGTAATAAATCAGAAAGTCCAGGAAATGCTCTCTCACTGTGGCATCTCTGGGTTTTTTATTTTTGCTTTCTTGACACAGTGGATCGAGTGTTTTTAAGGTTGCAAAGATTGCCTACCTTTCATATAACATTTGGAATGGCTTTGTCCAAGGTGTCTTTTTTGTCTTTCAATTTTTGCCCGTCCTTTAATTGGGATAG